TCAATATATATATATATATATATATATATATATATATATAGTTTATGCAAAATTAGGTAATCCGTATCAGTAGACCCAAGGAGGATGATATCAGAGAGCTCAATGTAAATTCAGAGCAAATATGTTTGAATAAAAACAGATCACTTTAAGGTTCCATGTAATAAGTTATTTCACCACAACCCCCTTAAAGGGCTTTGGATCATCAGACCCCACTTCCAAAGGTTGAAATGAATATATATATATATATATATATATATATATATATATATATATAAACCGGCAAACATAGAGAAACTTGCCCGTTTCCCATGACACCGTTTTTTAAACAAGAATAATTTTATGTTTCAGTTATGTGCCATACGTTACACACGCTTAAGCGATCACGTATCTTTCGATACATGACTGACGAGGCAGATTTTCCCCACGCAGAAGATTGTCATTTCTTTCTACGGTAGAGAAGTTGCCATCTAAGGCTATAGAACACGGGCTGCCCTGCTATTTACCCATATCTGGGGGTCAGGAGAAGAAGAGGATTCATACATTTTCCAAAGGTATACCACGTAAGTAAATGTAATTGATTCGACTGGAATTCGAACTCGGCTCTCCGATTCCTCATTATTCCACCGTGACTTTACAACATTCTAAAAACTAAACAATTAGAACTAAAACAATGCCATTTTTATAATTTATAAAGAAATAAAATTATTTTAACTCATATATTAATAAACATTTGACAAAATTATTAAAATATATTAACCAGAAGGAAATCTTTATTATTTACCATTTTAGGAAGAGGTTTAAATGTTTGTCCTTAAGCATACGTGACACAGTGGGTAAAGGCATTAGTTAGTTCTAGTGATAAGACCCAAAGCGTTGTGAGTTCAATACCTGATTAAGGCAATGGAGAACTTGAAGAGGTGAATTAACAGGAGATAACTGATAACTGACATCTATTAACCATGGCACATGGAACTAGAACAGTCTACCACAGCAAGCGAAATAAAGGGTTCACTTCAACATTTCAACCACCTGAAGAAGGTCGGAGCGTACAACGGTCGAAACGTTGTGATAAATATGGCAACAAAGATGAGGACAATAGTCCGAATAATGTAAATAGTGAAGAATTTAAATCTTTTAATAATTACTTGATGTTTTGCCAAGGATTTCAATAAATAATTTTACGAAAAAACTGTAAATAAACAATAAATAGTGTTTAATATTATTGCTGTATACATTCACTTTTATCATGTGTTTAGTTTTTATTACAATTCTAATCATCGCTTTTTAAAACAATAAATATTGCCGAGGAGTGAAGGTAGTTAAAATAATAGCGGTAACATGGGAAAAACTATCATTTTGACACTACATATTTGTCTATGTTTGCCAAGAAGACATTAATTCCAAATTGGTTTTACTCGTTAGGTCCCTGTCGATTCGCTGACAGCAAGATGATAAATTTTAAATCTAATTTTTTTGTCCATTGAAAACACTAGCAAATCTATCCAACTTAAATAAAACCAAAATGGCTTCAAAAAGTTCACATATTTCGGTTTCATCATCACTTTTCTCAGTTACCCAAGGGTACAGACAAAAAAGGAAATTAGACCCTGCAACAAAGATGTCCATTCCAATTTCGTTCAAACTGTGTATGCACGTAAATTTGTGTGTGCGCATGTATAGTTTAATTCAAGGACTGATCTAAAAATATTTCTACAAAATTAAGAAAATAACTTTAAAAAATAATTCTATTCATTAGCGAATAATCTACGAAAACCTCAGTAAAACCTTAAAAATTATGTTTTTTAAGCTTTAAAAAAATTAACCTTTTTTTTTAGGATTTTATTGCTCAGCCTAGGGTAAGGAATGTCCAGACTGAATCGCAGAGGAATATATTATTTTTATTTCTTATTTAAAATTCAAGTTGTATGCGTATTCAGACGTACGCGTGCTTCTGCATACATTAAATGACACATACACATGTTACTCACACACAACATAGACATACGCACGTGCATTACATAAGTGCATACAAAGTCAATTTATGAACAGAGTGGGTACAGCTTTCGTATTCTGACCATGAGACCCGGGTTCAAATCTCACCATGGTCGATTTATCAGGAAAGAGACTTCCTGATGTTATCGGACTGAAGGGGTTGATCCTAACGTGCCCGGAAAGTGCCCGAGAAACCATACCACGAGTTGACCCAAGCCTTGTGAATTAAATTGGGTAGTTGAGCTAGCACGAACTCACAAGTCATCGTGGCCGAGAGTCTGAGCGTGCTGGCCTCGTTCAAATTGCTGATCACGCTAGAAATTTCCCAGAAATTGTAACTAACTAAGGTCTGCTCAGCATAGTTGCAGTATAAACCATAAGTGAGAACTGTGGGTGTTGAACAAACACAAATGCGCCCAAGCAAGCGTTTGCAATAGGGATTGGCTAGCCGCCTTTGTAGACGGGTATCCTCGAATACGAGTGGCCAGATATACAAAGTCAACTACAATCAGTACGTGACGGACAGAGAATTGTCCCTTCCTTTATAATATAGTTCAGTCATTTATTTTGCCTGAATTTTGGGGATGAGGAGTTATAATTATTTACACTATTTATATCCGAACTATTGCCCTCATCTTTGTTGTTGTTAGTACAACGTTTGTGCTATTCATCTTCCTCGGGTGTATATCAATCGGGGTAACCTACAGGGTATTCTATACGGAACCCTTTATTTAATCTATGAGGGTAGACTGTTGAACATACAGCCAAGTAGGTTCGATTTTATTATTGATAATTCATTATATGCGAAGAGCAATTCATAGAAAGGTTTATTTTTTGTTTATTAAAAAGCCTTTTTTGTTGTTGCACATTAAAAAAAAATCTGTTATTCCACGAGTATTTTGAGTTTTAACTTCAGCAAAATGTAACTCTTATTAAGTCTTGAAAGTTAATTCCATTCCATTTGTGTTCCTTTGATAAAAAGCAAGTTCCACTCAGTCAGCTTCTTCTCCAGTAACAAACTCCCGAGAGAAATTCTTCCATGACAACCACAGTCTTACTTTCTTTAATTCAGGGTCAGCCGATACCTCGTCCACATAATATACTTACTTGCCTCTTCCTTTATAATAATCTCACTCGGTAACCCTGTGTGGTTGTTAGACCTTGTATCGGGTGAAGCTATCAGTAAAAGAAAAAAGAATAAAAAAAAAAAAGCAGAAATAAATTAAAATAAGTTCTTAGCGATTATTCTGATATCTTTTGGACATGTAAAAACTTCCATTCGTAAAAAGGGTTTGCTTTATATAAAGACCAAAAACTAGGTGTTGGTGATGATGATGTGTGCGCATGCGCGCGTGTGTTTATGCCTCCTTTAATGCTATTCAGTCATTGTGCGAATAAAAATCTAGTCTTCTTAGCTTTACCCAGACTGACGTCACGACCGGAGGCAATTTATTATTTGCGCGTTTCTTTTTCTTCTTTTTTTCTTTTTTTTTTAGACAAAATAAAACATCTTTTTTTTTAAGAATTCATTTAATGAATTTAATTTCCTCAGATCACTTGATAGCCAAACTGCCCATTGTAATTATACATAAATGATTAAATAAAGTGATCAACCAACAATTTTCTTCTTACAAGCGACAATCATTTTAAAGTAAAAACAAAAAAAAAAAAAAAGAAATTCTCCATTAATTTAGAGAGAAAGTACTTTTTTCATTTCTTATTCAGTTTATATAAAATAAATTTACTAACCCGATTTCACTTGAGAAAAAATATGGTTTCTGCCTTCCAATTATAAACTAAATAGCAGGCTAGACTGGGTTTTTTAGCCTTGGATGGCAACCAGTCTAAGAGAAGGAAAACTCTGAATTCAAACCATGGAGAAGTCAACGTGAAGCCACTACACTGTCTCTTCCATGAAGTCCTGACAAATCACAGATAATAAAGGAAAAAGTAATCTGTACAGCGCTATGATCACCTTGGTTGGCAGCCAGCTTAGGAGAAAGACCAATCTGAATTCAAAGCCATGGAGAAAGCAATGGAAAACTACTTCACTGTCTTTCCCGTGAAGTCACAGTAATTTCCAGTTAATAAAGAAAAAAGTTTTTTTTTTTTTTTGACAATAAGTTTCGCCCTGTACAAGATCCGGAGGCCAGTCGAAGTTACGTTAAGGGCTGGTTTATACGGATAGGCGTGGAAGATCACGGATTAACCCTAGACTTGAACATGATAAGATTGTAGTGATCAGGGAAGCATCCACTTGGGAGTCGGTTCCACGGAGAAGTCGTTCGTGAGAAGAATGCTGTTCGAGTGGAACTGAAACTCTCACCGATGGAACACAGAGGGAATGTGGGAGGTTTGCTACAATAAGAGTGGCATGGCGGCTCGTAAGGTTAGACCTGGCGAAATCAAGGAATTTAGTTAGTCCGAGCACTTTCCATGGAATTTGCGAGAGAGCATTAACAGGCTTGCCACATTCCGCTTGTGAGAGAGAGGTTGGAGAATGGAAAATAATTTGTCACCCACAAGGACACGGAGACTTTTATTTACTGATTAACCCATAGCTGGATGGAAAGCGGTAGATTCATGCCTTTCCCAAGGGCATTTGCAATTAATGAATATAACAAGCCTAACTGGAATTGAAACCCGGAGAGCCGACTTCCAGTTCTTAGCTGTTATCCATTACAACACTCATCCGTCCTGGGTATGACGATAAACTATGTCCAGCAGCAAGGCCTCTGATCAGGAGGTTTTGAGGTGTGTGAAACCTCCTGTTAATTGCTGGTGCTTCCAAGATCACCCTGACCCGGGGTGGTAGCACCTGTTAGGGTCCCAGCTATGGGTAAATAGTTAACTCCCAAACTGAGGTCAAAACTCTATGAAAGTGTAAAAATATGTTTTAATGGCAGAAATACTTTGAAAAAATTGATTAGCAGAAATACATTTTTAAAAAAGAACAAAATTACTGAAATTGGAACTCGGTTATCTATTACAACACTCATATATCCAAGCTTACAGAACCTGATATTCCTAAGCGGTCACCCATTTAGGTACTAACCAGGCCGATGTTGCTTAACTTCAGTGATCGTACGAAAAAAACGGTGTTTCAACGTGATATGGCCATAGACCTCCATGATCCACGTCCTGAAGGAACATTGCGGAATTTCCAAAATAAAGAAAAAGGTATGTTTTTTAAAGTAATTTTCGCCCTGTACAAGGCCCGGGGCCACTCGAGGTAGAGGGTTACGTTAAGAGATAGTTTATACGGATAGAAGGGGAAGATAACGGTTAACTCTAGGCTTTAACATGTTAAGATTGTTGTGATCGGGAAAGCATCCTTTTCGGAGTCTTTTCGACCGAACAGTGGTTCGCAAGAAGAAACTGTTCGAGAGGAACTCACTTCTCAACGGTGGAATACGGATGGTTAAATATCATGTAAATGTCGTGGCAGGTTCTAGCCGTGAAGGTTAGACCGAGCGGCACCAAGAAATGTAATTCGTCCGAGCACTCTCCATAGATTTTATATGCATAGCTTAGATGTGGCACAAGGCCGAAAGTATGGGACACCCAATGAGGATCAAACTCACTATTCAGTCGTAACTGTTTTAGTGAGACAAGCTTGCTAACCATTACACCACGCCGAGGTGCCCCAGTCGCGATAGAGTAGCAAAAGACTAGGCATATCTTGCCTGTGGTAGAGAGGCTGGAGGATGGAAAATAATTCGGCAGCCACAAGCACTCGGAGACGCTTTTGAACTCTATGAAGACTGAAAGTGAAGAGTGGCGAGCTACCATTCAACATTAGTCCATTTTAGGCCTGATTTGGCTCTTGTAATGTTAGAAGGTACCATGTGGAGTCAGGTACTTACTGGAGCGGTACAGAGAGCCGACAATTTTTGCTAGATCTTTAGCGATGGATTTAGTATGTACGAGTCCCATTTGAGGTGAAGGGTAAGTTTGATTCCCAATATTCTTTTAAAGTATGGCTCGCCTCCTCCTCGAATGGACATTACGTTCATCGTGACTAGCGGCTGCTGAGGGCTATGATTTAATTCCTGAAAAGACATGACATTAAAATAAATTATTCTGAATTCCCAGCCGTTGTGAAGGCAATGGAAAATCACTCCAGTAGTTATTCCAAGATTCGGTTATCAAATTTAGGGTTTGCATTCTCTTTTACACAAAAGACTTTGTTGCATTCTCTTTTACACAAAAGACTTTGGAAAGCATGAACTCATCTATCCCTACCCAGGTATAGTTTAAATAGCAGAGAAAAAGACAATTCTGAATTCAAATACTGGAGAAGACAAAGCCACCCTACTCTTTTTCCCAAGTAGGTATGACAATTTCTCGGTTTAATTTGGTTTGGTCTCTTTTAAGGCATATCAAGCCCAATACCGACAAGATTTTTATTGCTGGTAATATTTTTTCTTCAAAAATTAATTGCTGTTAATAATTTTTTTACAAAAAATTTATTGCTGGTATTTTTACACTTTCATAGTGTTTTGACCCCAGTTTGGGGGTCAACTATTTGCCCATAGCTAGGACCCTGACAATGGCCATCACCCCGAGTCAGGGTGGACCTGGGAGCACCAGCAATTAAGAGGTGGTTCCACATTCCTCAAATCCTTCTGATCAGAGAGTCTTGTTGTTGGGCGTAGTTTATCGTCTTACCTAGATAATAAAAAAAAAGGAAATGGTGGAGAGCAATGATCTCTTGAAGAGATAATACACTAAAAGAAATCATGACATGATTGGATTTAATTTTTATTATTTCTTTTAAACTTTTGAGCTATACTTTAGAATTTTTTGTTTTTCGGTTATTTCCGTACCGGGGGAGGGGGGCGTTCATTTTGCCTTTTCCAAGAGGAGCGTTTAAAAATTTGTTCTTCCAGGTGACGTGCGCTGCACTTAGGCGAAGAAAACGTTTAGGAACGGCGAGAGGGAAACTCAGAAAATGGTTTGGAGAACAGATTGATGCATCACTGCCAATCATTAATAAAATAAATCCATTGCTACTTTTTGTTTCGGCCTTCGTAAAAGTGAGAGAAAAAGACATTTAAAGGTGAACTGTACTTTTGGCGAAATCCTTTCAAGATACGAAAATGCAACCAGAAGCAACAATATTTGAAATTTCCAATCTCAGATAAAAAGAAGAAATCGTCCGAAATTAAGAAAACATTACACGGAATGAACAATTTTATAAGCAGGCAAAGAACATTTTTAATCATTCATCCTTTTAATCATTTCTCTCGTAATCCTTTGAAGGCGATAAAGCCACTAAGACGCAAGGAAGCTAATGAGAGTGAATGAAACTAAGAAAACATTATTAAGAAGAAAGGTCAATATAGAGAACAAAATTCAAGCAGATAGATGATGACGATTGAGGTTGTATTTAAATTGTTGTAGATCGTAGTTGACAGGAAAATATATTGAAAAAAGAATTCGATAGGTGAGAAATACAAGTGACAAACTATTAGAATAGTATTTACGGTTATATTTTGCAATTTCAGCAATGATGAGACCTAACTGCCAATCTAGTACTATGCTTACACAAGTTTTTTTAATAGACTTGTACGAAATGAAGTTTATACAAATATTTTCAAAGATGTAAAATCGTTTAAGTTCTTCATTTGCCCATCGTTTCATCCAATGCAATAATTCAATTTGTTTCTGCTTCGTTTTTTGTCCTCATTTCTTTGTTTTTCTTCTTTATAAGGGACAAAAATATCATTTGTTCAGATTTAAATTCATAGTTTTATTTTCTTGAGGGGTCGAATCTGCATTCCATTTACCAAAGTGTGCCTCTATAAGTTCGGAACTGGAGCCAGCCTGGCAGTGGTATAAAATTATTTTAAAATAATAAGCCTAGTTAATGTTTCCAATGGCCGTACATTTCGTTAATATTGCAAAAACCTGGACGAAAGCTGAAAACTTTCTTGATTAAAGCTGTTTTTTTATTATTATTATTGTGCGACCTGATCTTTAAAATCTAAAAAAAAAAAAAATAATCAAGTGATTGTCGATCCAGTTATCCTTCAGCGAACTATAAACTGAACCCTTTATTTAATCTACAGGAGTATATTATTGTACTTCCGCTGATCATGTCTAAGGAAATCTCGACTCAGTTCTTATTTGACCCGTTAAGATTACCGGGATCGTCAGGCACCTGATGACGGTCGGAGGGTCAACGACCGAAACGTTGTGAAAACAACAACAATAATGAGGATAATAGCTGTCATATAAAACATAAATGAATGGAATCATTCTTTTATGTAAATAAGCGACGTTGAACTGAGTGAGCATTAGGTTAATTGTTAATTGTACCTTTGTGTAGTAAACCTTAAATTTCATTACTTACCTACAAGTTTGCCTTCCTTATTTATTTCCCTCTGTTATTCCCACCCACCAAAAAAAATAAACAAATATAAACAAGTTACAAAAATAGTCCAAGTGTAAATGACGTAAATTATTATCTATGGGCGTAGGTGGTTCGTTTTCCACTGTCTATAACCAGGGATTGAACTCGTGATTATTGTCTTCAAATTCACAAATCGATGTTTCAATCCGCAAGGGTAACCTAACTGAAAATATGATTTCGAACGAAAAATTGTGATAATAACAACAAAGATAAGGACAATAGTCTGCATGTTTTCTATGTATCATTTTCTTTCGGGACAGGATCATGGCTCTCTACCATTTCCCGTCTTAATAATTTTCTCCTGGTGGCATCTCTCCTAAACCTTGTTCCGCCATCCATTTACTCAAATTCGCTAGGTCGGTTAGGCGTTGTTTTCCTCTGTCTCTCTTGCCTTCAATCTGTCCTGTGAGTATCAGATTTTCCAAACCATTTTTCCTCATTATGTACTTTGGAAAGTTCATCTTTCTCATGTTAATTTTAAGTATCCTTTTTGTTTTCATTTTCTCTAAAAAAATCATCATTCTTACCTGTTCCGACCATCGTATTCTCAGCATCCTTTCTTCAGAGTCACGTTTCTGTTACTCCAAGTCTCAGGAAGAAAACGTCCTGCATTCGATGCCATATAGAAGAAATAATGATAATTCACCACGTCAAAATATTCAGGCAAAAATTAAAGTATAATCGTTAGCATTAGTTTAATAGGGTCTTTTATAGAGAACTCTTAGAAATACGTTAATAGAGCCTTAAACTAGTAAACACTTGGGAAGAAATAGAAATGGATCGAAAATTGAATAAAGAAAGGAATGATGGATGGAAAGAAAAAAGAGACGGATGAGAACAAATAGGTCTTTCCCCGATATAAAAATTGGCTGTGTACCATTAGTAACAGCCGCAGTACGAGCAACAGCAGTGATAGCATTAAACGATTTGCTGTTAGCATTAGCAGCAGATGCAACAGCAACTGCAGAAGCAGTGAAAATAGCGAAAACTTCTTGAATGTGTTTTCATTCGCAGTTTGTTTACATCAGCTCTGATATCAACAGCTCTGCATGAAGTGAGTCCCAATTTCTATCTTCTTATACGTATATATTTTATTTTCTTGACGTTTTTTTTAAGCGTGCTCATGTGTGTCAAATACACAGGCCGACAAGATCGAGTTATCTCTTCCAGTTTAATACATCCATCTCCTATTTTGATGCTTGTTTGCTACAATACGTTTAATTTTCAAATAATCTTCTCCGTGGCACGACTATTTTGCACAATGTTTATTAAACTTATACAGGGTGTCCATAAAGTTCATGTGCACGTTAAAAAATTTATTACTTCATTTGTATTTGCGATAGAAATAATTTGTAAAACGGATTAGAAAGAAGTAAATCTATATTTTTTAAGGTTTTATTGAAATTTTATTTAAGTTTCCACATGTCCTCCATCATTAGCAATACAAAGCGTAATACGATTTTGCAGTTCACGGAAAACATTTGCTAACTGTTTTACAGTAATGCCTGAAAAAACACATTAGTTATTTTAGCTATACTTAAAACTAGGTACATTAAACTTTATAACATTTTTTTAACAGATTATTTCTATCGCAAATACAAATAAAGTTACAAATTTTTTGAAAGTGAACACGAACTTTATGGACACCCTGTGTATATATATATATATATATATATATATATATATATATATATATATATATAT